ATTACCGATTCAACATTTTGGGCTTTCTTCACGTATGCCATTTACTCACCCACTGTGCATGACTTCAGTTAGTATATGACTTACCTGTTATCTGACCCGATTGCTTGCTTCTCCACCAAATTTTTAAAAAGGCCATCTTCGATGAGCATTAATTCATCAAATGTACCAGTTTCCTCTACTCTACCATTATTAATAACCACAATCTGATCAGCAAATTTGATTGTCGAGAGGCTACAAAACAATAGAAATTGATGCTGTACTTTTTGGAGATCGAATTTCCCCACAACAACTAAACTTGCTGCCTTTCTTAATTCTCTTTTTTCAAAATTTGATAGAATTTTAAAACGATATCGCAAAATACAGCTTTCTTAAATAATGTAAGAGTTAAAAAAAAGGGAAAAAAGTACTCACCGATGAGCGATAATAAGAACAGTTTTCCTACTGCTCTTAATCAACCTTAGGATAGCTTTTCGGACTAAATCTTCACTTGCAGCGTCCAAAGCACTTGTTGCTTCATCCATAATAAGCATCATTGGATCCTCAATATTTTGAAAGTTTTTAATTTATACAGCTGAACTTCAACAAGAAAAACAATACACAAGAAGAATATCTATGTTGTAGACCCACAGCGAATCTGTCATCTTACTAATAAAATACTTCGAAATTTGGATGATGACATATTTCATGCTCCCTTCCTTCTAGGAACTTTGATTTTAAAACAAACATTGATCAGCGCTCGAGCTATTGCGATTCTTTGGCGTTGACCACCGCTAAGCATTGAAGTTCCATGTTCACCAACAACGGTTTCAAATCCATCAGGAAGATTTTTGATAAAATTTAAAGCATTTGCTAGACTTGATGCTTCTTCCAACTAAAATTTCGAATGCCTTCATTTTATGGGAAAAACAAACTGAAGGAACAGGAAATAACAACAAACCTGAACGTCCATTATTAACTCCGGATGCTTCGAACCGTAAATAATATTATTTCTTATTGTTGTCGAAAACAGAATTGGTTCCTGGAACAGCTGGTATTTTCAAAAAAGCAAAAAAATATTGCTTTAACAATACTCCACAAAATTCACTCACGACTTGTACACAACTAGTTATGTTACTGTATTAAAAGAAAACTTGTGCCACGGTGCCAATTTGTTGTCGCCAAAAAGATGGATCTATTGATTTTAAATCGACATTATCGACCAGAATATGTCCAGAATTAGAATCAAATAACCTGAAACTTAACTTCACTTGAAATCTTATTGAATTTAACTCATAAACATTCGCGGTCATTTTACAACTGACTGTCGGATAATAACTAGTTAATTAAATAGAATGCAGTCGAACCTTAGTATAAGGTTAGCAATTGTGCTTTTTCCAGAACCAGAAGGTCCAACTACTGCTGTAGTTTTGCCTGCTGGTATGTGAAACGAGACGTCCGTAAACAAGAGCGATCGATTGGGGTAGCCAAAACTGACATTTTTGAAAGTAATGCCATCAGTGATACTTTTTTTCAACAGACCGCCTGCAGTAATGTGGTCTTCGAGTAGTCTTTGATAATTATTAAAAAGATTATCTATTGTTAAAAATAAATATAATTAATTAAATAGTCTATTATGCTATCGAAATTTGTCCACCTCTTACTGGTATTTCAGGAACACGATTACGAAGCTCAAATAATCTCGCACTAGCACCTAGACCTTTCATAAGTTCTGTATAAAAGTTGACCATTCCAGGAAGACTGAGAGCGCATAAACTCGCATACCAAATAAATGCTAGGAGATCACCTGAAATTTATTACTCACTTCTTGTTATTTTATTATAAGTCAAATCCAATAAAAATTTGTCTCAGGCTATCTCCTATACCCTGCAAAATAGAAACAAATGAGTGTAAATAAACTTACCGTATGTCAATGTTCCGATATTCATTAACTGTCCACCATAAGATACAATTGTATAAAGAGAAGCAAGTATCGCAATTTCATGCTGAAATAAATTTCACATTAACTCTTAATCTGTAACAAGCTCAGGCTTTAAAATAAAAAAAATTTTTAGATTCTACAAATCTATACCAGGGCTATCATGCAACCTGCTGCACGGCCTTCACGACGAGAAACAACCCAAAGCTGATGAATTTTTTCCTTGTAAGTTTCACATTCCTTTAACTCGGAAACCAAAGTGCGCACGGTTATGATATTTGAAAACTTTTCTGTAGCAACCTCAAATAAAAGATTAACATGTAATTTCCATCGAATCCTCTCCACTAAACTAATAATTTGCACTTGTAAAGTCAAAGTGAAGAGTATGTGTAAATGAAAATCAGTTGCAAACAATGATTTTAAATTTCATCCGGCTTCTAAAAATCTTCAACTCACATTATCATTCGAAATCTGCTTCTAGTCTATCAAACTGTATACGGCGGGCATGCTGGTGAAAATAAGCATTAAACAAAGAAAATGTAGTGGAACTAAAAATCACGTAATAATACCTCATTGGATGCAGCAACTACTTCTTGCATTTGCAGTGTATATTTCCTTTGCAAATTACCGAAGCAATACCCTGAGGTTACAATTGCCGCTGTAAGGCATGTAACCACTTCAGACAACTCCGGTGATGTGTACACCTATCCTGGTAAATACATTCAAAGCAAATCAAACAACAATTAAATGTAAAATAATGGACTAATTCATTTTAAAAACAAACTGTTGTTTAAAAAAATTCATTGACTGCCTCACCTGTCTCTGTAATATGAAGTAAAAAAAAAAAACTTTGCAGTAGAATGGAATATTATCTGATTACAATACTAAATGCACATTGTAATCAAGCAGTATTCCACTCTACTGAAAGCCAACTTGAAAGCACAGCTGTTAAACAAATACTGTTGATTATAATGATGCGTGAAACATACCATAATAGCAGCGGAACCGAAGAAAGACATAAAAGCGCGCGCGCCAACAGTTAAATTTGATGAAACCGATTGACCTACAATTAATGCATCTGTTGAAAGGCGACTTACAATCTCGCCAACTTTATTCCTGCTAAAGAAATTCATATCCTGATGAATAACTGATTTGAACACTGCCTGTCTCAAATTGTTGATTACGAGCTGACCTGGAATTTTCATGAATATAACTTCTTTTATAATTTAAAATAATTTATCCAAGGAATCTGATAGTGTCTTTAAAATAGATTTACTTGTATCCGTTGTCTGAACTGTGCAATATCAATTAAGTATTATGCAACCATTATCACGAATTTTGCTTACAATTTTTGAGTATTAGAAATGAAAATCTAAACTTGTACTGCTATAGATGGACATGGATTATACTAGGTTCCAAGCAACTTTTTTAAGGCAAAGAAGCTTTCTTTGCCGGTTCCTTTATCCAAAGCTATGATAAAATGAAAGAAAATTTCTGATGCATTGTTTACACTAACGTATATGAAACTAAACTAACATTAAACACTAAAAAACGTCGTAGAATTCGTAGGTAGCTGTATTCCACATAGGCTATCGCTCTGTATGATGACAATCATGAAGTATTTTTCTAGATTACTCTAAATATCCATAAAAATACCTGCAGTGTGCATACAATAATGCCTGATGCCATAGGAGGTCACAACAATGCAAAAAAGACCGAATAACACCATGTAATGCACTCTGAGATATTTGGCAGCCAAGATAAAATACATATTTTTGTCATCAGTTTGATTTTCTTTCACGTTTCCTTCTTTCTCACAATTACCATCGATATCAATAAACATGAAAATTATGCGAGGCAAGACGAGGCCAATGGCGTTTCCAATGACCAAAAACAACAAACCAGCTAGAAATAATTTGCCTTATCAATCCTATATAAGCAGAAAAAGTAAATTCTTATTTTAAAAATCTGATATCAATATTACTTTAATATGATACACACTTTGTGATACACACTTTGTTTTAACTCTTGTAATCATGCACAAAATAAGAAGACATCATGAAACTTTAAAAAACAATTTAGACATTAATTTCAAAACTTACTGTATATTCGTCTCCTACAGGGATATGCAAGTGCAAAAATATCACGCAAATCTTTCCACCGAACATTTCGAACCTTAGCTGGTTCACGCTTAGCGGCTTTTGAAAGCTGAAATTACATTGAAAAATAAAAAGAAAATGGAGCAAAATATCTCTATTTATCTTCTTGTTTAAGAAGATAATCAGCCAACAATATTTCGAAAAACAGAATAAATAATTAGTTTTCTCCACTCAATTTTCAGACAAAAATGTTAAGAATATAAATGAAATCAAGAAATAGAAGTCTTCATGAATTCTATTCTACTCTCGAGTAGAAAAGAGTTGTACTCTCGAGTACAAAATGGTTCATTTTTAGATTAGTGTAAATATGTATGGAAGATATATAGAAAATGCAATAAACTTACATTCCTAACCAGAAACAGATATGTACTTTTCCTCAAATTGCCAACATTATTCAATCTGCGCAGGTTAGTTGGTGATTTCGGATAAGATACAGTGTACAAAAATCTGAAACTTATAAGAATACCTCATAAAATTTTTACAGGACTAATGTTGTGATTATAGAGAAGTGACCTCATAATGTGACTATTTTTATATACAAATTTCTAACTTCTATATACATACACCTTAATGTGACTATACATATACATAAATATAGTATCTCTTTTACAAATCATAGCTGAAGCAGTAAAGCAAATGTTTTCAACAAAATCTGAAAATAATGAATATGCATACCTGGTATTTGTCGAAAACGATGATGACGGTTTCCGGAGACCACATCGCGTGCAGAACAAACAGCGGGAAATGCATGCAATATTCATCAGTTCAGTTACTCTTCCCAATTCTCTTTCTACGTTCCTTTTTGGAAGTGATTCTAGAACTAGCCAAAGAAAAGGAAAACATTCAAATAAGTATATTCTGTATAAGGATCAATGAAAACAACGAATTGCAAAGCGACATATACCTTTACAAATTATGCGTACATCTGCAAGGAACGAATTAGATTAAAGATAAAGTTTTAGACTAAGAGAAAAAAAACTAAGGAAGGGAACAGATTGTGCTCATTATGGAATGAAACGTCTTCTATACTGAACCAATTGTAAGCTCATATACCAGCTTATAGATGGCATTCTCGAAACTACTCACCAAGATCACCGGAAAGTCTCGGGGAAGCGAACAATTAACGATCGTCCGCTTTTCCCGGACTGTTCAGCATACAACATAGCACCACATCAGCCAACAACCAATAATCACTGTGTTTTTGCTGCCAGCCGAGTTTTAGTACTTCTCAGTTTCTTTCTGTCATTGTGCGGTAGCGGAGTGAAAACTGACGTCTCTCATTCTATCAAATTGTTCATTTTTTTGTAACTTGGAGAAAAGTTTTTCAGTAAGGTGCTATACTCTGGTAATAAGTTGAACTATTCTGTACGAATTTTCGAATTTCTGATTTGTTTTATTTGTTCCGCGAGCTTTTGATTAATTTAATTATTGATTAAATTACGAATTAGATCGAAAACAAGTTTAAATTGAATTTATTTCAATATATAATATGTATAGGATTCCCGAGAAAGCGTGAAAACTTAGTGACTCGATTTGAAATTGATATTTTAATTAACCGTGAATAACAGTGCGTTATATTATGAAATTACCTTTATGATTTAAAAACAAAAGCAGGTAAATCGTGGGTAGTCGATTCGGACGTATATTTGAGAGATAGTCCATTGGCACTGTTTCAGGTTATCGAAATATCAACTTGTTCCTATCTTCTATAATAATTCTACGGAGAGTTATTTACCAAAGAATAATGAAGAGGGTAGCGATGCCATTTGTAGCAGCAACGTCATCGTCAGTATCGCGAGCACAGGTCCATATATATGCAGTAAAAATTATAACATACCTATGATTAAAAAATTTGTTTACATTTTAATCAGCATCATGCTATCTGATTACCGTCTGGTGGAGAGGAAGGGAAAGGCCAACGATAACATTTGGGGTTGACACTACTTAGAATTAAGGCTGACTGAGATTGTTTCTGACTGAAATTACAGAGATTTTAAGTATTAACACATAGGTGATAAGATTATATTTCGATGTCATATGATTCTAATTAAAGACTTTCCCAGGCAGAACAAGAACACAGAATATAGAAGTCAGTATTTGAATGACTAAAAGTTGTTGAGGCAACAAATCATTATTTTTTCTAGATTAATAATCGGGATCTCATGTTCAAAATGAAATGGACTTGTGAGCTGTGTGGTAAAAAGCTTTCATCGAAACGTTCTTACGATGAGCATCTCAATGTACATACCAATTTGCGACCATTCGCCTGCAAACATTGTGGATATGCTGCTGGTAAATGCACTTTCAGCAATAGCTTGGAAGATAAAAACTACTGAGGATGGAATCAGTATTGAAAGATCGCATAAAAATAGATGCATTTCAAATAGAATACTTCACCTTAACATTAGTGATATGAAAGAACTATTTTAATGTGTGAAACTTGGTATTAAAGATGTCTTCGAGACATTGATTAACAATTTTTGCTTTCAGCCAGCCAAATGACTTTGAGACGGCATACTTTACGGAATCACATTCCACGTCAAGCATGGGGCTACCAATGTCCGTACTGCAATGAAATGTACATGGAACCTGCAAGCTATCAACAACACATTGGGTTAATTTTAAGCTATTTACTGTCTGTTTTCTTAATTTATACTTTGGGTCAGTTCTGAAAATGAAACTCATACAAGTTAAGCAAATCATTTCTTCTCATTGCCTCAAATTGGATTAAATAATTAGATCTGTTTAGGCTTGATAGTATTTTCTTGCGTTGGCTGCATAAATTATAATTATCGTTGTTATCATAATATTTGGAATTTTATCTGGTTCAAAAAATAATTTAGAGGGATTTTGCAAAATCTGCGGAAATCCTTATCACGTGGGATATATTTCAAAGAATGCATGCTAAAGAATTTCCAACACTTCCTTAATCGATCCTCATCTATTAAGTTTCTTGTTCTAGAGTCTAGAATAATTATTTAAATAGTTAACAATTTTCTATTTCAGATCGCATCATTTTGGCCTTTCAGCAACGTTTGGTTGTCCACTACAAAGATGTACTTTTACAACTTGTTCGTCAGCTTTCTTTCGTGATCATTTAGAAAAACATACTAATTTATCTTCGGACATCCGCGAAGAGGCCAATTACAGACTCTTCAGATTCGCTGTGGATGACAGATTTGGTAAGTTCCCAGAATTTTGTCCTCGCTGATGAGAAAAAGCATATGCACGTTTTAGGCACAGGAAACCATTCATATTTCGTTTTATTCGTGCATTCATGAAAATATTTGGATGATTGTTTCTTAAATTTTGAAAACTTAAGGCGTTGGTTACGGCCGAAGGTCAATTGATATTCGACGATTGGAGGTTTTACAAAGATTGGAATCGTTAAAGAATGATAAGGAATACATGAAAACTCCGCTCAAAATACAAGGGGTTATTTTACGCACAAATTTTTTTCCATTTAAACTGTACAAATATTAATTAAGTATCTCGAAAATTTACTAAAAATTAATCTATTGGTTTTGAATATATTATACAGTTTTTCGTTTTAATTTTTGGAAATAATGGTGCATTTCCAAAGGGAATCAACTTGTATCTTCTATTTCTACTTTGAATGGTGAAAAAACTCTTTTTCTGTTTCAGATCAGAAAAGGTGACAAAAGAAAAAAAAATGAAGTAAAGTTGCCTGATATGATCAGAGGATCTCAGTATTGTGTCTTTGAACCAGAAGAACTTGATTTCTTGAATGATGATATTAATCTTCCTGAAGTTGTTGTCAACAATTTTGTCGATTGCCTTCAAGGAGGCATGGTTGAACCGGAACTTGATTAAAGTATAATTTAAATGACATATATCTGATCCTTACATCTTTTTCGTGAAATTTAACATTCCTTACAGAGCTACAGTAATTTTGAAAATCGCAATTGTTTGAATACGTTTTGAAATTGAAGTCTGAAATAATGAGTTATACAACTGCATTTTAGTACTGAGTGTACTGTACGCAGTGCAAAAATGATATCTAGACTAATTTGTGTTTCAGAACGTATTTCGTTTTTTAGCAACCATTGTTTCCTGTATTGCTATATATTGAATATAATTTCAGGTGAAAAAATTTGACGTGGATAATTTGTTGAAGATTAGGAATTTTGAATTGTAGGCCGGACATTTCTTTTTTGTTTTTGTTAAATCAAACTTTTTAGCTTCAACTTTTTTTTTTGAAATATAAAATAATGAAATAAAAGAAAGCTTTCGCTATTTTTTTGACGGAATTTTCGGAATCCATAAATTTTTTTTTTTTTGTAAAATAAGCAGCTAGATCCAGCTAATACGACTCTCATTTCTCTATTATCATTTCAGCTTTCTATTCAGTAAAGATGCCCAAGATTTAATGGATGTTAAATATTTCTCATTCTCACCCATATTCAATTTCTCATGTTTCATCGCTGAAAAATAAAATCGCACAATTATACTATTGCGAGTCTTAGAAGTTTATTATATTTCTTGATTTTTTTATAAAAGATCATCCTACATATCCTTGATATTTATGTGTTACTCGATATATCATAAATGATACTTGAGTCAACAGTAGTGAATCCGATGACACTTTGGATTTTGCATTTTCTGTTCACTAAAAATGATATTATTAAGTGTTGGATAAAATTTCTGGTTTTTGTGACACTAGGGAAAAATGTTGCAAAAAGTAATTAGTTGCTTGTGAAGATGAAAAAAGTGAGATGAAAACTGGCTTAGAATTGAACGTCGCTTTTTCTTCTTTCATCAGAGTGAAATTATCCAGAGAATTATCCTTGAAAGTTTCACAGCTATTCATTCCGTTCTACTTTTATATTGTGCAACGCAATTTTTAATCACTTTCAATCTTTAGATGACACTTTATAAATGGAATTGATAAATTAAAAAGTGATTCTAATAAATGGAATTGATAAATTAAAAAGTGATTCTATTCTCGTAAAAGGATCAATTAAGATAGCACTTTGGTGTGTTGATCACAATGAAATATTGCTTAGTGCAAGGGAAGCTAAGTTTCATTGGGGAAAGTGTAAGTGAAATGGAAATGAGGCAGATTTGGGGTTGGAGATTTATGTTTGCTGATCAATCGTATAGTGTTTTTAATCGGTTGGGTTGTGCAGTGGTTATTTTCTCATTAGTTTTGCTATGTTTTTAATGTGTTAGATTGTGCAGTTTTAATATCGAGAATAAAGATAAAGCATGATGAGATTTATTCTGTAAATTGGAATATTTGAACTATCCAGAACTGTTCGTTAAAATTGATTTAAAATAGGATTTGGCTACCGACTCTTTCAGCAAAATGAAGCAATATATTGTATTGTTCAGTAAGCAGAGTTGTGTTTGCATAATACTAAGAAATTTAAAAAGTACATACAATGAGCGCTACTGTTCCTGCAAATAATTTAAACTTTAATAAAGCAAACTTTGCAGAGATAAAGACCGGAAGAATAATTTGACTAAGTGAAAAGTACATAAATTATGGATCTCTTCCCTCAAAATCGAGAGGGTAAATATGGTTGGTGGAAGCAGTTTCTTTATGTATACCATTTTGGGGGGATAAGTGGGAAAGAAGAAAAGAGAAAAATTGATGCTATACAATAAGAAAATGTTCTTTCACTTTGTAACAGAATAGCAGCAATTTTTAAAAGTTAGTCAGTCAATCTATTCCAGGTGGAACGCATGTGATGTGATATTTAAGGAGACACTTTTTCATTTTAATCATCTTTTTTTCTTGTCGGCGAATGAGTTCGGAAGTGAGTACTCCAATGTCGGTGGAGTCCGATAGTTCCAGATGGCGGACTGTGGTTGGTTTTCATATTTCAAATTATACTTGCATCTCTTTGTTTCTGCGAGTCAATCTTTATTTCTTTTGGTGGATACATGCTGGATCACGACAAAATAACTAAATCGTTCTATTTAATGTTGAAACTGGATTACAGAGCATGACAGTAGGCGGAGACGATTGTGAAGATGAGGCTGAGGTGAATGATCTCAGAGAAAGTTTGCGAGCATGGAGTTCACTAGCTAGTCCATCTTCCAGCGCAGTTGACCAACCAGTGGTATGTCTCCCTATGGAATTTCTAACATAAATGGTGATTTAATAATTTTGTTTCAATTTTATGAATTAAATCCAAAACTAAATAATGTAAGTATAAAGTTATTATTCACATATTCGTTAAAGATCGAATTTTCGCCGGACTGCGAATCTGACTTCGATGCAGTGCTCAACAGTGTCTTTGCAGATAAAAATCGTTTGTTTCAACCACTTTCTGATGACACTGTAAGTAAAAATTTCTAAATATATATGGTTTTTTGCATACTTACTGACATAGCTTATTACTGTTGCACTGTGATTTTTTCTCCATCGTTACGACATTTGGTTCATGGTTGATACATTATGGTAACAAAGATCACCAATGAGCGTCGTCTTTCCTCTTCTGCTCGGTGGGAAGTAGATTGCGATAAACTGTCTCACATTTCAGAAGAATTTGAAACGCGGTAGTTTAGTTTCAAGTATTTAGTTTTCATTGTATTCTATATTAGTACTTCAATGAATCAAATTTCAGTTTGTTGAGGAAGTATTTGTTGAAAAAAAACCGAAAATACTGAATGGCTATCTATTTGGAGAGAGAATTGGGGAAGGCTCATATGGAAAAGTTAAAGAAGTGCTAGAACAAGATACTTTAGTTAGAAGAGCTGTAAAAATTATCAAAGAAGCACGACTAAGGAAAATTCCGAACGGTCATGTATGTGCATTCTAAATTATCGAATCTTAGCATATTGTATCTGTCCCAAAAGAAATATTTTGCTTTTTATTCAGGCTAACGTTGAACAGGAATTGAGAATATTGAAGCGAGTAAGACATCGCAATGTCATTGCCTTACGCGACTTTTTTCGTGTTGACGACAAACAGAAGTTGTATATAATATTGGAGTACTGTATTGGTTCGATGCAACAACTTTTAGATGGATCTAAAGAAAAAAAGTTGCCCGAGTATCAAGCACAGTATTTTTTCAGGCAACTTTGCGATGGTTTAAGTTATCTTCATGCTCATGGTATGTTTGACATAGTCTGGAGGAGCGTGTTCCATTAATGAGAATACTTGCAAGTTGCACTAACTCTGAGTAGAACATTTACATTAGATAGTTAATGCTACAATACTTACATTTCCTAAATGGCAAAATATCGCAGATCTATTTTTTAACTAAGCTAAAATTTTAATTACATTTTAGCTATTGCATTTTGAAATATGTTATTCACAGCAGGAGTTGCAGAATCTCCTCCCGATTAATAACGGCAAATAATTGCTGTGATTTCAATTATTAGCTCGTAGTTCAAAATGACTTTGCCAGAAGTAAAATAGTATGTTCGTATCTTCAGAAGTTGGCAAAGTTATTCTCAATTTTTTAATCATTCAGCAAAGTAATTTCTCTTCAGGCATAATACACAAGGACATTAAGCCGGGTAATCTGTTAGTCACTTTGGATGGAACGCTCAAAATTAGTGATTTTGGAGTAGCTGAAATGCTCGATACATTTCAAGCAGAGGATTGGTGTACAGTTGTTCAGGGTACTCCGAAATTTCAACCTCCCGAAATTGTTTCGGGAAGTTCTGAAAATTATCGGTATAATTCATTTTTATCATAAAAGATGTTTCTTCGATGACATCTCTTCCTAGTATGTATCGTTTAAACATTAAATGCTTAAATATCGGAAGTAAACGTAACCAATCATATGTCAGTTTTTTCCATTCCAATGCTAACATTTTAAGGAAACTGTTAACTTATCGTCTGATTTGAAGAACAATGCATCGAAATAATCATTCTTTGATAGATTTAGTCTTGTAACTATTTAATAGTTGATATTTTTTTTTTATTTTAGAGGTCGAAAAGTGGATATATGGGCTTGCGGTGTAACGTTGTATAATATGGTGAGTGGTGAATATCCATTCGAAGGTGACGTTATCATGCGCCTTTTTGACAATATCGCCAATCAGCCTCTGCAAATGCCACAAAGTGTGCGGTTATCGAGATCATTGGAATATTTGCTTACTTCTATGCTCGATAAAGATCCGGAAAAACGTATGAATATGCATGATATTAGAAGATGCGAATGGTATACGCAAAAAGTGAATGTCGTACGTTCTTATTTTGACTTGAGATTTCTAGAGAATTTATCTTTTTGAAGAAATTCAATGAATACAAAAGTTTAACTTAGATAAGATATTGTAATAAATAAAATATTGTGAAACTTGAAGTGTGAAAAAAGTACATATTGCAGGACGAATTACATCGTGTTCCGATATCGGCATGTAACAATGTACCAGCCCATCGTCCACTGAGCATATATGTACAACTCGATCAGCTTTACGGACCAGCGCTTGAAGAAGATGATGGATCACACTCTGAGTACCCGCGAAACATGATTTCTGCAGTGATTGTTGAGCCATCACTTGAAGATCGAAATGTTGATGAACAAGTGCTACTCAATGAAACAAAACGAAATCGTAGCATGTTAGTGTGAAAGTCTTATTTCCCTTATCCTATTTTTCATAAAGAGTGCTTTGTTGACCTTCCTTCTTTGTTACCAATTTAAAATATGTTTTGGTTAATTTAGAGCGTAGCTGATGGAAATATCTGAAATGCATCTTTTTAAAAACAGCAACTATTTCTATTTCTTGCGGACTCGTCTTTCCCTTCATTTCTGAGTTTTTAACAATTGCGTTCTTATAGGTAAGTGATTCAGGTAAGTGCCAGTGATGCACTACATAAATTATCATCTGTCAATTTGATTTGATTTCAGACGCGAAGTGTTCTGAAACTGAATTTTACTAATATATCCTCACCAGCCAATTTTACCCGCCGGATGACTTAACATGATCACGTTTTTTTAAGCAGTATTATCTAATAATGATTAAATTGCAGATTATCTATGTGTATGGGTTTATCGCGATCGCCATGATCCACGTAATATCGTGCAGCGATGAAATATATTAGTATTCTTTAAATAGCGTGCGTTTATTCTGGTTTTTCTACATCATTTTTTTGCAATACGTTATTTGTCTCAGGCATTGACCTATTTACATTTTATGTATAGGCTGTGAATGTATATTTGTTTTCTTTGCATATAGTTATCTCATTTTGCAAAATTTAGTGTTTTGTTATCACTTCCGAATTCAAACAAAACCGTGCGTTTTTGCACTTTCACGAATTTTGCTGATTTGAAAATAAATTCGCAGGCAGCTTAACGTGTGGATAGTTTAAACGCAAGCTAGGACAGCTGACACTGTGAATCGCTTTTGGAATTGTGTTCGACTTTTTTTTTGTCGACATTCAAATGAATATTTAGTGAAAATAAGGCATCATGCTGCTGAGGAATTTTAATAATTCGATATACGGATTCAAAAGAAAGTGCGTATGTTATTTCGATTCGAGAAACGTAGCAGTGTTGAAATGCATGAAAGAATTGGAAAAGAAGGCAATTTCTAATGTTTACTTTTTTTTACTACAATACAGTAAATGATTAGCAGATATTATTTTAGAGGTTTGTTTTACATGATCTTTTCACTGAAATATTTCTGATAACAGTTATAGTCTTTATCTTTGCGAAGCGGTACTCTCTTACAGCGATGAATTTTGACCAATCATTTTTTAAATGGTCATAGGGCGGTTAATGTTTGTCTGATACTTCTAATCGACATCTCATTTTGCAAAAAAAGGAATGGCATAATTATGATTTACGATGTTTTTGCAAACACCTTTAAGGTCATTTAAATCAAACACTTTTGGATGTGGTTATTACTTACTACCGTGTTTATTTTCTGTTTCTTCCATGAGATAAAGATAAGGTCGTAGAAAATTGTCTATTAATAGAAATTCAATCAATTCAAATAAATCCGTGTTGTCTCTACAACACATGCTTTTCTAACGGGAGTAATCAGGATCATTACAAGAGTACTTAAGTGATCGTTAAAGCAACGAAGTTTATTATTTTCATTAGAGCTTGCATAATACGGTTTTATGCTTAATATATATTATATGAATCGTTATCGCAAATGCATTCAATTTTCTGAAGTTGTCAAGTTCGTACTTCTTATCCTATCTTTTATTTTGTCAGATTTGAAAACCTTTTCATTTGCTGCTAATTTGATTTGTTTTTCTGTGATGGTAAATAAATCACTCACAGATCTTTGTTAGATTATAAATTTTTAATTTTGCTACTTTTCAAAAAAACATAAATAAAACAAAGTGTAAACCATGATAGTTTATGCTGGTTACTTGTGCTTTTGTTATTGCAAATGCGTTACTTTCTTTTATTTTACATTTATCACTGCGATTTATGATTATCCGAAATAGACAGTAATCATGTTGACTTACTGCAAAATTAAGTAGGACGGGAGTCAGATTGCTTCAAGCAACTTGTCGGTTCGTGTTTGTGTACTTATTGTGCACTGTTGATTGCTAATTTGTGTGCAGTCAAGATTTATTAACATGCTAAGGGGTCTTTTAATGATTCGAATGCTTCGAAATTCAACTGTATAATTTCCAATCACTAAATTTAGTGTTTAGCGCTCTTCATTCAACTTTGACTTTGTTGATATGCAAGGCAGCTTGTACCAGCGAGCAAGTTTTTGTAATAGGACTGAGTTTATTTTGTGAGGATTGTTTGGTCTATTGATAGAAGATCAGAATGAAATCCAGCAGTAGGTTACTGGTCAGTCTATACTAATACGCGTAAGATATTGAGACAATAAGCGACAGTGATTTACTAAAAATCAATTGAAGTGTGTTTTGATTACTGAATTTTAAACTTGAAGTTTGTTCAGATGGCAAAGAAGAGAAACAACGTAGGGAATGTGACAGTAATTGTTGTTGGTTCACATTCATTTGATAGTTTTTATTATCATCATTTAGTTATTGTTGGTTCACGAATGAAGGTTTTTTGAGGCCTTTTGAATTTTTGTTTTCAGTGTTTCTCAATTTGGATTTTCCACATCGCTGCTATCTCGAGTAGGCCATTCCAGTAATCGAATATTTTGTTGATTGTTATTTCTGTTTAAATGAAAAAAATTCGTCGATTCTTTGCTCATTTTGCAGCAAATTTTGTGTTTCGGTTTTCATCGATCCTTCATAGTATAACTTATCACTTTTCAAAAATTTCTTCCGCTTATCTTTAACTGAATCGAGTCGTTTTACGCAAGTTCTTTCTTGGATTCTGTTCATGAAATTATCATTTTCATTTCATTTCCACTAATTACTGAAATATAACCTTGACTTTCAACTTTCGATTTTTTTTTTACTTTTCTAGGTAAGCTCAAAAAAGTAATGGACTTAATGTGCTCAAGAATTTAAGCCATATAAAAGGAGAACTGATTGTAGTGGAATACTGTTCCTTTTGCAACTTGCTTGAAGTAACAGCCCTTTTTTAGTTTTTATAAAGTTTAATTCACTTGCAGAAATACCGTATTGTCATGTCATGCAGTGGTATGCCACTTCTAATATGTTCTTCACGAGCTTAATTTTGAAGCTATCCTTTAAAAATTTCTAATGAAAGTGAACATTATTATCCATCCTTATATTTTTTCAGAATCTATGATTGCCATATATTAGTTCACTTTTCTTAATTTTACACATATATTTCTGATGCTTAAAAAGCTAAATTGAATTTCAATCGCTTCTTTAAATTTCAGCATGGAATTAAATTAAATACCATAAAAAAAAATTCCTAACATTCCCCACGTCCTACCATTCTTTCCCTTGTGGTCTGTTAAGAGTGTTTGGTATAAAGTGGAACGGGTCAAGGTCGCCGCCTATGTTTTATACAATTCCGTTCATCGTCGTAACGATTCAATTAAGGAAGATTGCGGCGACGTATCGTTACTGCAATCAATAACGATGGATGACTTTCTTGTTTGATACAAATATATATACATATATGAAGTCTTATTGTTCATAAAATCATTAAATTTTGCAAAGCTATGGTATTTCTTGATCATTGATTGCATGACGTATGGTATTGCTTTCTTTCCTTCTATTTCGCATGTCTGATTTATTAAGGTATTTGAAATTTTGTATTAGTTAATGTTTGTTTATAGAATCACATTGCCAACTAATTTCACTTTGTATATTGTGGTCGTAATCGATGTTTGAAAAATTTTGCTTAAGTTATCAGTTCTTTTTTCAGAATCATTTTATGATTAGAAGCTCAATTCTCTTCCAGGATAGCAAGCGGGTTTATCACCAAAGGTAGCTCTCTTTTATTATTTACTCTTCGAAGTGTTTTCGAATAATTACAAATATAATAAAATTTGTACTTGAAATGTACAAATTTTATTATATTTGTATTTGAAATGCACAATAGAGGAAAACGTTTCATTTAAAAATCGAAAAATAAATATCTTGACATTTTACATCTTGATGTTTTCTCTTATAGAAGATAAAACTTTATTTTATTAATATTATGGTTTTATAAGAAATTAAGGTGCAAAATAAGAAGTGATTATTAAGTGAATGTCATTTTTACAATGTTTTATACCTGCTGTTCTCCACACGTAGATCAAATCCTGTAATTCCTCAAATCTAAAAAATTATTGAATGTCTCTAATTAAACATTTGTGTAGGTTCAATATTGTGGTTGACCGCATTATAAAAACATTTAATAAAACTAGATTAGTTGCTGAATTGTATGTAGAATGGATAGTGATGAAAATCTAAAAGACGACATATTTTTCAGATGTCAGTTGTAAATGTGTATGCAACATCTGCAACGACAGAGAATCTGTCTCGACATGAGATGCTCATGTGGGTAAACGATTGCTTGCAGTCAAATTTTGCAAAGATTGAAGAAATGCATACGGGTGCAGCTTACTGTCAAGTAAGGCAAAGCAAAGTTTTGGACGAGATCTTTTTTTCTGAAAGTGATTTCATTAATAGTAGGTTTTCCCTGTAATGAAATCGGGACCGTTTTGAGTCATTTGGAATCTCATTTCAACGCTGAGAAATGGGCAAATTTTTCAGTATTTTGGAACAAAGAAGTTTCGATGATCTACTTGAATAATTTCTTTTTGTAATTAATATCTTTTTTTGAAGTTCACAGATTTCCTGTTTCCTGGTTCAATACAGCTACGGCGGGTGAAATGGAACAGCAGATTAGAATTGGATTGGTTAAGTAACTGGAAGTTGCTACAAACATCATGGAAAACATTAGGTGTCGATAAAATTGTTCCTGTGGAGAAGCTTATCAAAGGAAAATTTCAGGTAGATGGTTTTTTTTATTGGACAGATTTTACTAAAATAAAAATATTAAAGAGTTTTTAGATTTTAAACCTATTTATGTAAAAGATAATTTTACCATTTCTAGTTAATAAAATCTTTGAAGATCTGCTATTGTAGGACAATTTCGAGTTCTTGCAATGGTTTAAGAAATTTTTCGACGCAAATTTTGATGGACACGAATATGACCCACTGGAAGCTCGGGGTGGTGAACCATTACCATCTGATGTAAAAGGAAATCCACCTTCACGAATGCCTGCGAGGTCCTCAGCTCCACCTGTCAAGTTAGTTTTTATGGGTTTGTTACAGAATAATTGTATTGGTTTTTATGTGTTTAAATTAAATCTGATAGCTATAATTTTTTTTTTTGAAATTAAATCTGATAGCTATAATTTTTTTCAAACTGTAGTTTAAAACATTCGATTTGTCATCGTATGAAAGGAATAAGAGCTGTGTATTACTGAAGTACAGTGGAATAGAGTTAGAATTTAAATTGAGAAAATGTAGGTTTTTTGAACTAGCGTACAGTAAATTCAAAGAATAAAGTTTAATTAATAATACCCAAGATCTCTTGGTAGACCGCTGGAAGTTGCGTTTACATAAACTAATATCATTGGTAAAATTCTACACTAAATAACTAGGCATCACAGTAAAGTTTATTTTTACAGCTGTTTTAAACAGAGTATAATGAAATAGAGAAAACAGATTATGATGAGTTATAAATATTCTGTTGCAAAATTGCATGCATAATTAATCTAGCGTAAAATTTCACAAGCAGAAAATCCACTCTCTCGACATCGAATGCTTCTATGAATAAAGGTGAAGTACGAAGAGCACCAGCCGTTGGAGGGAAAACTAATCCAACTCGAACAACTGCTGCACTGCCTGCTGCGGTTACCACTGTGCGAGCTACACATCCCGCACAACCCACAGTAGATCCGCAGGTATTTATCAAAGTCACTTGAAACTGTTTCTTAGTAAAATTTCAGGAAATACAAAAGTATCCAGAACTGAAGTGAATGACAGTGATAATAAAATTGGCCAACACATCGGAAATTATAATTCGGATTTTGTATTTTGAAAATAATACTGACTGATAATGAAACAGTAATCGAGTTTCTGTTTTTCAAAATGCTTCCTCTTATGTATTCCATTTTAACAGATAGTGGTGAATTTAAAGCGCGAATTGGAAGAAGCCAAAGAACAGATAGCTGAAGGCGATAATGTCATAGTCAGTCTTGAAAAGGTTAGCAGTTCTGCTGGTATTTGTCAAACTTTTTTTGATTTATATTTTGGGATGCTTGAAAAACGATCATATATAATTGTTATGAAATTATTGCTTTAAAAATATTTCTTTGGCCAGAAATGAGTTTTAGTCAGGTGATACTGTAGTTGAAACGAAGATTTTATACGCTTGTGATACTTAATCAGTAAATGTCGTTCGCTTATTTTCATATTTCTAATTCCTAGGAACGTGACTTTTATTTCTCGAAACTACGGCAGATTGAAGTAATATGCCAAGATAATGAACAAATCGGAACTGTTGATGTAGCTCGTGTGCTTGCGGTATATATTTCTTTCTTTTTCATCGATTTAATTGTGAGATTAACATGGTCTTATTTTGCTTAAATTTTTTTATGTAGCTTTTATTTCTTTTAGATAGTTTTCCCGTATACGCTATTCAATCGTTGTCGTTACAAGAGAAAACGTATTTATTCTTCGTGTATATGTAGCCTAACAGTCTGTATTAATGAAATATATCATCTTTTCATAACACTTTTTTGCCAAACCACAACTAATATTGCTTCTGGAAAACTGGGTGTTTTAGTGAAATTTTAGCTATAAATAAGTTTTAATGATGTTAATTGCTTAGAATAGATAATTTAGGCTTTTTAATAAGGATTATTTTTATAAATTTAGTAGTTTGATGTAAAAAAAACTTTTTTATTTCTGTTGAAATTTAATTCAATGAAATTTAAAGATATTGTATGAAACGGAAGAAGGATTTGCGCCGCCGGACGAGAACGAGGTGGAAAACGGAGATGAAGTTTATTGAAGGCAAGAAACTGATAATTCCATAGGACTAATAGCAGAAAAAAAAAATGTTTTAAGCAGTAAATCATTTTTATCTGTTAATCTTCAGATTTCCTTGCTATTTAAAATGATTCATGTCTTGTTTTTCTTCTTTCTTTTGCTTTTGAATTGCCATATTCTGTTGAAAAGTAACACAATCAGCCACGTGTTCATTCTACATGGATTTTGTTGTCAAGTATCTAAATAGTCAATTTTTAGGCTGTGTTGTTATTTTATGTAGACTTAAAGGTGTTTCATTACATTTATAATAGAAGTGGATCATAACTTTTTTGGGAATTGATAGCTAATTATAAAGTTTAAATTTGCTCATGAAATTTACTTTATGTTGATATTCTGCAGACTTTCATCTCTGCTGTGGACATATTTCTTTGCATTGGAAAAAAATAGGTTTAAAATCGAAATCAGGCGGTAGAAAGAATGGAAATAGGAAAAATAAGGAATTCTTGAATGTATAGAATTTTTAGAACTGTAAATTTTATTCAGTAAAGTTTAAACTACATCACTGGCACATCAATGATATGGATAATGTAGGTAGGAGTCATTTAGCTACAGTGGACTGTTGGCTATTAGAATTCTAAATATCCAAATTTTCTGGATTCTATTTTTAGTACCTATTAATTGTTGAGAATATTTATTCAATTTATGAGTAAATTTATACATGCGTCGATAATTTTTTTTAGTTTTGCGCATTGCTTCATGGAAAATACATCATCCATTTCTTTTTTCGAAGTGCTAATTTCTTGACTTGGAGTCTGATAGGTCTTAGGATCTTTAGAGAATTTCCTTCAAGAATTTCAAGTATACTGGAACCTGCAGCTATAAAACTGCTGGTAGTCTTTCCGCAGTATTGTGCTACTTGCGCTGAGGCTTTTAATATACAGGGATTTTGAATATTCTGCATCCCTTCAACTTATTACAATATATTTATGCTGTCTTTTACGTTGCATATGTATAATTTCCATTTTTGTTCTCGACTTTTATGATTTTTTTCACCTGTTTTCCTAAAACAATTCTCGTTTCATATGCTTTCTTTAATCTATTCTAATGTTCAAAAAATCTTGAAATTCATGAGCTCATGTTTGTTTCTAATTCATTTCTTCAACGTTCTCATCTGTTTATCTCTGTATTCCTTCATTTTTTCTCGTTAAAATTGGATATCCCTTAGACTAATTCTTTTTAATTTTCAATATAACTGCAACTCTTTTTGCCTGGATAAATTTTATTTATCACTTTTGTTGTTAGAGTTCATTTTTGGGTTGATTTCCAGGAAACATAGTAAAATTGTTCTTATCCAAATCATATTAATAAGTTGTCGCAAGGCAACTCCTTGCTTTTTTCATTGGTACGGAATAAAGTCATTACTGGGATGTCAGGATTCTGCGGCTTTTTAATCCAAGTTTGTGACTTTATTTATATTTTATAATTATGAGTTCATTTACACAAAGTGTAAGCCGAATTCATATAGTCGTCAACACCGATTCGATGAAATAATGTTATGGTGTTTATTACATCCGGATGAATTGCAAGATAGAGCATATCTAGCAATCGGATGTGAGGCTGTGAAAAACAAATTCAGAGAGTATGTATTTATGAGAATTCTAGCACTTTATACTTTTTCATATTTTTTCCTTATTGCATTTTTCCAGTTATGTCGAATTCTACGTCATCTAATCCATCAACGCTACTACCGTTGGAATTGGTAGACAAATGTATTGGTTCAAGGATTTGGGTTATTATGAAAGGTTAGTTAAAGTAATAAAAGACGTTAATGGTTTAGTGATTATGTGACTGACGCATTCATACTCCTCGAAACAATGAATTGTTTATTAGTAATCATTATGCCATTAATTTTGCCTTCTTTTTTGCGAATTTCATTTTGTGCGTGACTAAGTATGCTCCATTTATCTTTAGATATTTGAAAGTGGAGTATTACGCGAACTTGAAGATGATGCTTATAGCGCTTTGTACACTTGATATTGAAGTCTATTACTTTATTTCATAAATTAGTTTATGTGAATGTCGTTACAGGTGAAAAAGAAATTGTTGGAACATTGACAGGTTTTGATGACTATGTTAATATGGTATTAGAAGATGTTGTGGAGTACGAAAATACAGTTGATGGTAAAAGAGTAACGAAGTTAGATACCATTTTGCTGAATGGTAATCATATCACAATGCTGGTGCCTGGAGGCGAAGGTCCTGAAGTTTAATTGTTGTTCGCATCTCAATTTCTTGTATATATTTCATTGCTTTAAAAATGTACTTCATAACAAAGATTTCATATTATAAAAACTTTAGATTTCAGTCCTCAAAACACTGCAGAGTTTGTTTTTTATTCTCACATTTCCGCTTGATTTTACTGCTTACTTCGAGCCACAATGGAGTGAAAATTTTCGAAAACTTCCTCCCATTAAATGTGCTCTATAATCTGAGAACTGCTTTAGCTCTAAAAACAGATCCGAATAGTATAACGAGAAAAAACAACGTGACGTTTTATAAAGAGTTAAATAATTGTGAGCCAAAATATTTTTTTTCCCTTCTTTCATTCAATAACTTAAAATTTGAAGATGAAAATATCGCTGCCGTAAACGATGCCACTGTGATCAATTATTTAGAAGTAATTTTGTGTGGTTTGACAAAAAATTCTCAAATACTTTTTTCTAATAAATATTCCCACCAGGATTGTATTTTAAAAAAAGGAAAATTTTTTTCTTCGTAAATAAAACATGTACATATTAAGTTGTTCTGAGGGGACGAAACGATATTCCCATATTTCGAAACCAGTAATGTTTGACGTTGAAAATTTGAATGTGAAAATGTCGCGATATTGTCAAATTAGCACTTTCAGCAGTATACAATGCTTAAAAAATGCGATATTCTATGCAGTTACTAATGCCAACAATCAAGTTGAGCATATACTTCCCCATTAATTTTTACGCTATTTTTCACCCACAAAGTTATGCCTGAATTTGATTTTCAAGTTTAGAGACAGGGAATTTCATAGACTTTTTTAAATGTACAATATTATTTGAAACAGATGAAAAAAAATCGCTCGTCCTATTAATTTTGGTAAAAATACACATCATTTACTACAACAACATTCAAGCAGAAACATTTTTCATTTTTCCAATAAATCCAAATTCATTTAATTTTAATTACCCCCTTCTAGTGGCAAAGTTTGAAAATATTTGAATTAATTAAGCGATGAGAAATAATTGTGGCTTGTGACGTCAGTCTGTTTATCGTGCGCTCGATATGTTGCATCACCATAATCATACATGTTAATACGCTGTACTATCAAACGTATGTCGTTCATTAAGTTGTCAATATTCACATAGAATAATAAATTACTCCTGCTCCTTTCTTTTTAGGTTGAATTAAAGTAAGTAAGATCTTTGAAAACTTTCTAAATTAGTTACAATTTGTTCCGAGATATTATTTGAAAACAAAAAATTAAGCATATTGTTCTAAAGTTTTTTTTTTCAGTCAGCAAAAACGAAAAATGATTGTTTCGGCAATTGATTTTTTTAAAACGACCGCTAATTCACAATTATTTATTTCTATTTCTCAGTTTCGTAAAAGCTGTTTACTGTAGCAGAAAGCGTATCATTCTGTAACACTATACCACAAATGTGAACATTCTATCATTCATTTCCAATATATTACAGTGTTCGAGTAATCAATTCATCATGTGAAATCTTTGATTATTACAAATATTTTTGCTGTTAAAAACACAATATTTTCTTGGATAAAATACATTTTAGAGTATTTATGAAGTGATTAACATAAAAAAAAGAAAAAATGAGAATGAAAAAAGTGAAATGGGAGGAGAATGAATGAATTAGAGCTGGAAATAGAAATGCTTAGAAAATTACTTCATACTAATAACTTTTACCATCCTTCATAGACTCTTACCAAATACTCTTTTAAAGTATATCTTATTTGAACTGGCAAGTCAGGTTTGATTTATTTTAGATGCATCAGATGGACAAAAAATTGTTAGGACTACTTCAATTTTCCATATCGTTGCATTTATCTTTCAATAACTTTTCTAAATGCAGTATTTAAAAATTGTATTTGATCAACGCTACTTAAGACATTACTTTTTTTTATAAGTACTAACTACTGCAAGAATGTTTATTATTTACGAAAATTTCAATCAGATGTATATTTAATTAGATCAATTTTTCTCTTTTATAAAATTTAAATCCGTATTTATTCTAACTAGCAAGTTAGAAATTCAGCCATTTTTAGTTCACTGAGGGGAAAGAAAAAAGATCAAACAAATTCCTCAACGACATTTGCAATGACGTTCCTTATTACTGGATAACTGATATAAGATCATAAGGAAAAGCATCGAAATATACAATTTTTAATTTAATTTTATAAACCTAACTGACAAAAAACGTGAATTTAATAAGGCTTCTGATTTGCAGTTAATTTTGCAAAAAAACAAGTCAAGTTAATGCAATCAACAATAAAATAAGTGAATAAGCTTCAAAGAGGAAATCAAAAATGTTATTTGTCCAAGCCTGATAGCCATGCATTTCTCAGCCATCATTTTCAATCAAATTTGAAATGTTTAAAAGGAATAAATGTTTTCCACCAATATTACTATTTGAAGAATCATTTCGACAATAAGTGTGACAGAATTTGCTCCTATTAAACAGTCAAGGATATTTTGGCTCCCAGGTCTTCATAAAATGAAAAATGTGACAATCTTAATTTCATGACCACAACGGTCCTTTATCATTCCTGATGGAAACTATTAGTATAAAAAATGATGAGAACCAGTAATAATTTTGTTCAATCGCGGATAATGCTATTTGCGCGATTTTTTTCCCAATCTTTCATTAGTTTTTTTTTTCTTTTCTTTTTTTCAAACTGAAACGAAATAAATTTATTCGTCACAGAAATTATTGAAATATGTTTTTCTTCTTTATATAATCTTTAAATAAACAT